TGCATAGGACCTTATTGTAGTACTGCAAAACCTTAAGGTACTACTATGGAACTTTTAGCTGTAAATAAGGTACAAAGATACTCTCACTCCCTAAAGGTACAACCTTTGCATATTGTTCTGAGAACTGATATGTTGAAGATAACAGCTCAGTTTGGTTCATCAAATCTGCTAAATGTGTATTTTGTCTACGTTTAGAAGTGCATAGAATGTCTCAAAGCTAATAAACAAGGACTAAAGCCACAGAACTCCCCACAAGGTGGGTAAAACCAGCCTTTCTTTGGTAGGAAAAAGACATGCCGGGAATTAACACTTAACACGGGCTTAATTACGGCACGCACGCGCCTGTGAAAACCTGCCATTCAAGAGCATTGGTAAATAAACCTCTCTTTACAGGTGATCCAAATGTGTCTCGCTCCAGACAGCCCTCTGTTCCAGCGCTGATATGCAATTAAAATCATCTCCAAAATTCTCCTCGACAGGACGGGCCCAAGCCAAAAATGTAAATGACATTAAGGGAGACAATGAATTGAATTTTGTTTAATGTCCCTTTTGCTGGTGCTAATTTACATAGCGCTTTTCCAACAAAAGCTCTGACCTTCTAAATGCTGGCATTTGATCAGCTCTGAGAGCGGGACTGTGCGCGGATGAGAGAAAGGGGGTCTTTTTAAGTAGCCTGGTCGGAGAAGATACAAACAAAAGGGCAAATAAACTGAGGAACGATCTGTGTTGGTTTTTAAAGATTAAAAAACCCTGCAACAGGCGGAGTATTTTCCCCCTGCATATGGCTCCAGGAAGACCTAGCTAATAACCAAGCGTAATCCCTTCTGGAAAGGTCCTCCGGTACGAAAAAAATTAATGAATGTTTAGCTAAATCAGCATCGGGACCCAAATACCGCACGGTCCGAACAGGTGCAGAAGCCTCAGCGAAATGAGCTACATAAACCGTCCTGCTTCACAACTGTGTACTCTGACAAAAAAAAGTCAATGTCATGAATTATTCAGTTGAGGGAGGGGGTTGGCTGTCAGAGGTCAGCATGTCTTGACCTTTCTGACAGGAAGTGAAAGGGAGATCGGTTGGCTAGGAAAAGCCTGATCGTTCTTGAGTCAGAGGGGTTTTATTAGTTTTTGGACCGATACGGGGGCGGTAAATGATCCAACGCCTCGCGCTTGACATGCTTGACATCAAGACATCACCTACAAGAGTTCGAGTCTAGCCATAGAACTCCTCATTTCAGAGGCTCAATCTATCTTTTAAAAAATACCAATGAATAATCTATGGCGAAGCCGGGTCGGGTTGTGAAATATTTAAAGAACCATTGAGGTTGAAATTTTGTAACAGCTGTGAAATACAACCAAGCTTTTCTCGTTTTTTCTTCTTCTCCTCGTGAAGAACCTAAAGCTGCACCAAAGTCCAAGAGAAATAGTATAAACAGATGTCTGGCTTGACTACAGGAAAATAGGACACATTTGGAATGATAAGTCTCCTAAACTCCATTGAAAATGCCAGAAGCGAGCGGGTGCCAGTTATTGTCCAAGCCCGTGCCAACGAGCAGTATGCCTGGCCCATGTGCCATCTGGGAGAATGTGGCTGAAAACGTTATTGATAATGGATCACCAGATCTTCTGGTCACCATAGCCCTGTTTAGCAGAACATTCTCTTCCTCTATCTGTCTGTCTATTTAGCTATCCCAAGTCCAACCCAGTAAAATGTTTTGATTGTAATGCAGTCGAACCCTCACACAATATACTTCCTGTGCACGCAAATGCTTGTTTATAAATGGTGACTGAGCATGCATGTATCTTAGCTATGCATAAAACTCCCTTGTGTACTGCAATGTTCCACTTTTTCCTCAGAGACTAGGAAAAAAGACGGACCTAACAAGACATAACCCCACAGGATTAGTTTTGTGATTACAAATTAGCTTTATATCATACACCCCACCTGCACGAACGCTTCAGTCATTTGAGGTTCGTGTTTCCGTGCGTTCCGGGCTCTCCCGGTCGCCTTGTTCTCTGAGCGTTGGATAAAATCATCTGTTCACAGTTGTGATATGCAGACAATGCAGTCGGCTAATGAAGCACATCTGCTTTTGTGATCCGACAGAACGGATCACCCCTCTATGAAAACGATCCTCTCGAGTCTTTCAGACGCCTCACAATCAAAATGTGAGCTTTTTTATCCGCCGTTTCAACCTACCACAATATCCCTCATTTTGCCGAGTATCAGACCTTCTTTGCGCTGTTCTCCTTTTCCTCTTTTACTAGTGTTACACATATTGTTCACCAGATTGAAGCACAAAGCGCCAAGACATCCGATCCATCCACCTCTATTTAGCCACAATACAAAGCCCAGCAATTTATGGGAAGAGTCAATGCAGTAAATATCAGTGAAACCCTGTTGTAAAGTGTTTGTATGTTTTTTTTTCTTTTAAAGGTAAATACATTGTATAAGCCATGGCCGGTGGGGAGAATCGACTCTGACTGCCTGAGACTCTTTTCAGGATCTGCTAAGAGGAAGTGATATGTGTTTTATCTTCTGTTTAGAAAACCAAAACAAATCCTCCTCCTCCTCCTCCTCCTCCTCGCTGGGACTCCTCTTTTCCTTTTTTTCCTCTCGCCCCACTAGCTTTTCTTTCTCCTGCGGTTGAGTTACAGTGAGTGCATGAATGTTGGTCCTGTAACTAATTACTGTTCGCACACTGTCAGAGCTCTTCAGCATGTCTGTTTAAACAAGCTAATCATTTAATGCAAAGATAACCAAGGTTACTGGGATTGATTCACACTCTTTGAGAGTGTTTACAGAAGAAGATGTAAGGAATTCATATTCCACTTAAAAAAAGGTTAAATAGGGGCTCTGTTCCAAAAGCTAGTCAGCTGCCTACATGGGGTAACATTTTACAGCATCATTATGCTGATGTGAATAAATATTTAGCATTGATGCTACCTCATAAGACACAACATTTTAGCCAGATTGTAAGGCAGCATTGCTTATTCACGGACAAGAAAATCCCAGAATGCAATAAATACATTTAACATTTGTGAAAAATCAAAAAAGTATAAATGAAAATTAACTATTTTATGCTTATTAAAGCATTGTAGAATTAGCTTAGCAACATGTTCATGTTAAACTATTCTCAAATGTGATTCAAATGTCTGTTGCTGACTATGTACAGCATTTAGTGAATGCTGCTTGAAGCAGAAAACAAGACGGCTTACTAGGCTTCATAACAGAGCGATGGATTATGATTCAAATCAAATATTGATTATGAATAAGCTATGAGGAAAAAATAAAAAACTTCTACTCTAAAACTGAATCAAACAGCCTCTCCTCACATGAACCAGTTCACTCACAGGCAGGGTTTCCACATTACGACCACATGACGTGAGAGCGGGAAATGCTCAGACCTCCAAACACGCAAGCACGGCCATAATTTCGACACGCAGGGCTAAATACATTTAACATTTGTGAAAAATCTAAAAAGTATAAATGAAAATTAACTATTTTATGCTTATTAAAGCATTGTAGAATTAGCTTAGCAACATGTTAATGTTAAACTATTCTCAAATGTGATTCAAATGTCTGTTGCTGACTATGTACAGCATTTAGTGAATGCTGCTTGAAGCAGAAAACAAGACGGCTTACTAGGCTTCATAACAGAGCGATGGATTATGATTCAAATCAAATATTGATTATGAATAAGCTATGAGGAAAAAATAAAAAACTTCTACTCTAAAACTGAATCAAACAGCCTCTCCTCACATGAACCAGTTCACTCACAGGCAGGGTTTCCACATTACGACCACATGACGTGAGAGCGGGAAATGCTCAGACCTCCAAACACGCAAGCACGGCCATAATTTCGACACGCAGGGCATGAGTCCTTTTTTCCGATGCTTCACACACTTCATGCACGGTGAGTGACAGCGACAACTGGTCACTGCTATTTGATTACTAATAAGAGAGATGTCCCCTCTGTCAGATACCAAACATTCCCCGCTAAGCAAACAGCTATTTCAGCAAGTCAAACATCAGCATTGCTATCCACTGGTGGTGCATATTTCGTTCACGGCTTTGCCCATCATCTCGCCCTCCAATCTAATTTCCCACTCAGTGGACAGGCAAGTTTGTGATCGGGAGATAACTTTGCAACAGCTACAGCGAGAAAACAAGACTCTCACTGCTGGCACCGCTTGTTGGTTATTCATGGCTCTTTACAGCAGATGGAAACAGAGAGACTCATGGCTTTATGGAGCAAGGTAGGCTTGTTCTAGCTCACTAATCTCCAAGAGGCCCGGACTCCAGCAGCCAGCGCTCCTTGTCACATTTACCGTTTCAGCCGCGAGTCCAAAACCTGCCCTGCCATAATCCACGTATGTGCTGCCACCACAGGGATAATTGGACAAAAAGGAAGAAGTGTAAGTCTCGCCGAGTAAGTGTAACCTTGAGCCAGACTCACAAAGAGAAACATAAGCTGCAGAAAAAAAAAGAAAGAACGTCAATTACCCACTCGGCGGGAGCCGGTGTGTTTGAACACGCTTTCCCTAATGTGATCAACATGCAACCGCCAACAGCCAGCCCAGAAACATTACTCATTTCCCACCGGCAGCACTACAGAGCGCAACGTAAAGATGCCTTTTTGCCTCGAACATGCACGTTCGGAGATGCAACGTTACTGCTCAGCTGTGGCACGCAGTCCTCCCACAAAGCCAGCGAGAGGCAGTGCACTGTTTACAGAGAAGATAAGCAGAGCAGTTGTTAACAAATTACGATGAAAGGGTTGAGAATTTAAAGCCAAACGCTCTCTCAATGCGGCGAACTGCTTGCAAGTCTCGAGGAAAGCACGTCCCTGACAACTCACCAGCAATTACGCGGTCCCTAAAGACACCCTGCGTCAACCCACCTGCGTGGCGGGATGCCGCACAACAACACGGGGAAAACCCGGGCCAGGATGCTGGGCCGCAGTGCCCTACGCTCACAGGAAGCAGAAAGATAGTCTTACCTGTCGATGATCACGGGGTCTGAGGGCGTTTCGTTCCTGTTTCCGCAGCTTTTTTTGTCACAACACCGACTTGGGGAGAAAAACACAGGGAGAGAGAAAAGGAGACATGAGATGAGATATGAGAGAATCAGCAAACAGCTTGCATGTGTCTTTCGTCTCCGAGCACCGTGTGTTTCGATTTATTCATCTGACACGGTCTCTCGTCCTCTTTTCTAGCTAACCGCCGAGGTGTTTGGCGTAGGTTCTGGCTGAGCCGGATGGTGTTGGTGGCTGCGGTTCTCACAGATGCGGGCGGCGGGTAAACACGGAGCCCGGCGCTGTGGCTGAAGGAGGGAAAACAGCATGTTTTTGGTGTTTGTCTTAGTGCTGAGAGGAGGAGAGGGGGTGCCAGGAGGCTGGGAGGGGGGAAAGCTCTCTCTCAGCCCCAGCTTTTGTTTACCTCTAATTGTCAAGCTGTTGTGTCTGGAGAGGATGCAAGATGCTACCTTCAACCAGGATTTCTGTGGGGCACTTATTAATTACCAGCTCAAAAAGCCTCCATCAGTCTCCTACAATGTGCCAATGCCTCCATTTTGAGGCCCTGAAGATGCTTCCATTATGCTTTCTTTAATTAATGTTGAAATTACAGAGGGGAAAAAAATGCCTCTTGAATTTAAAGAAGCCTACTTGTATAATGGTTACATGTCTAAGTGAGCCAAATTAACACCATATGGTATAGAAAACACGTAAAGCTCCTTAAAGCTGACAGCTAAAGTGATTAAGGTATGTCTATGGACCTCTGCTTGGGACTCGGAAACGCATCCGTGCGGTTTTGACGCAAGCAACAGAGTGCGATGCGAGGAACTTTCTTGATCGTTAAACGAGGTCCTGTAAGCTCTTAAAAGTTTGAAGCGTTTTTAGCTCGCGCGCAGAAGGATGTGGCGTGACCCCTGCGCACTGTTCTGATTCCTTTCCGATTTGGTGGAAAATTGAGTGCTTGCTTCCATAAGCGTCGGGTTCTCTTTCAGTGCAGTTATTTTATTAATCGTAATTTTTCTACTTTTAAAATAACCACAGGATAAGGATATATCTGTGGCGTGTGCGTAAAAATCAGAACAGACAGAGTGGCGCACGATTAAAATACTGAGGATGAAAAGCCACTTTCCAAAAAAAGGCCCGAGAGCGCACACACGCGTTTGCATTTGAGCCGACCGCTGTGTGTGTGAATTTCAATTCATCCTCTATAGTGTTAAAAGTCCAGTGAAACCATTCATAAGTCCGATGTCACCTAATGATCCGGTCAGATTTGTGCTTTTGAAGTAGAACTTCTGAAACTCGCAGAGCAGGGCGCAAAGCGAATCGTAAATCATTACGCATAAGCCGTCAGACAATTCTGAACATTTGGATTCTTTTCAGCGTATCCAGGCAGATCTATTCAGGGATTCATTGATTTTCTGTAAGGCTGATGCTCGGAGGCCTGGATGGGCCTACATCATGTGCGTTACGCATTTATGAAAACATGACAAGACATTATGGCTGATCAAATTCAATTACGCAGTCAAATGTAATAGTTTATAATTATCTGAAAATGAAAAGATGTTTCTTTTTTCTTACCTGCACATAATTTCGTGTGTGAGAAGAACTCGGCACATTTCTGGGTTTTTATCTTGACCTTCATAAATAATAGCCTTGAAATAAAAGTCACATTGAAGACGTTTTAAACAAGTGGACAACACATAAAATATAACATTTAAAATATTAAATATAAAACTGCATTTCTCCAGCAAAGAAAAAAATATACTATGAAATTAAACATAAAATAATAAAATGTGGTTTTATGCCACACAGTTCAATTTCATCAATTAAAAATCGACAAGAGAAAATAAATAAAATCCATTTCGCCCACATACATTGTTAAACAATGTTTTATCTGTAAACCAACACACATGCCCACATTCAAGATAGAGATAACCTTTGTGTTATTAATTTGCATAAATAAATATGATGTTTGAAATGAATATCAACACTTGGCCGGTCATTGCGATGACAAATTATACCACATGCATATCACTTTAGAAATGAAGAGTCGCATATGCTTCTGTTTAGATCTTTGCGCTATTTATTTGGGGAATGATAACAGAAATCACATAGATGTCACTTCTCCGACGCAGATGGCCGCGGTAAATAATACCCATAACCGTACACATCAACGCGGTTATAATCTGCAGATATTTAGGGGTAGAGTGCTAATGGGCAATCTGTTGTTTATTTTGAGCCGCTAACAATGATTTTTCTTTAGATAAAAAGCGGTGTCGGGGGGTACGCTTGAGTAATTTTTGAGCATTGGCTTTAACAGATGGCGTTTGGAGCTGTAGGTGCGCACGGGCCTTGGTGCTTTCTGCGCGTTCTGTCTCACTCTCTCTTTCTCTCTCTCTCTCCCTCCCTCCCTGTTTGCCCTGCTCCCGTTATGATGTACTGTGCAAGAGCGCACTCCGACGCGTCCTTCCGTGGGATCCGCGGGGCGCGTTGGAGTGCGCTCTTGCACAGTAGACCATTGCAAAAACAAATAAAATACACAGTAGGCCTATTATTAGTACATATACATGTATGAAAATTCAAGCACTGTTGTATACACATAAAACTGGAAAGGGAAAAAAAACGCATGCGTGCGTAAATAAACACACGGTGCAAACATGAATTGCTTTAAATATATGAGAACTTATTATAAAGTATAGTAGCAATTAGCTCCCTTTTGAATTTTAATTTGCTAGCTGCATGATGAATGCAAGCGTTGGTTTGTATTTCTGATTGCATTAATTCTATTAATCATTAATTCTATTAAGACACATCTAACAAAGATACAAATTAAAACCGTTAGCCCAAATCTAGAAATTGCAAATAACAAAAGAAGCACTAGATAGAATTGATCAGACATTGCTTTATGTGTCCTTATTTATTTTCCTGCCTCTCACTGAAAATATACGGAAAACCATAAAGTGTCTGTTCAGCGCCATTGACTCTTTGATCATGTTCAGCTCCATTCAGAGGCGCCTCAGATAAAACCTTCATATTTTCTCTCCTGTGAAGCCAAACGATGGATAAACTACAGATAACAAGAGCCTCAAAATCAAGCTAAAGATCCGCCCTGTTCTTGAGAGGCTGAAATGGACAATGGAAATGAGCTGAGAGTGATTTCAGAGAACATCAGAGTACAATATGAACTCAAGTGTCTGTCTCGCGCCTGGAGCTTTATTTTTATGCCTTTAACCAGATCTGATTACAGCACAACAAAAGTGAGTTTTCACATGCGCCAGCGCGATATAATGACACACTGAAATTTAGTAACTGAATGCCAATTAAGAAATATTGCACTGCCAGATAAAAAAAAGTGCATTTTTATTATTTTATTATTTTTTTATTTTATATTAAATACAAAGCAGCTATTATTAAAATAATTTCCATGCATTATAAATTAGCATGTGTGTGCTTCACAAGCACAAGCATATGAGCTATATGTTGTCTCAGATTAAAACACGATTAAATAATAATAATAAAAAACAGCCTAATGAGCGCAATACAGAAATATGGGGTTTGACAAATATGCGAGAGCAAGACTATAATGTGGCTCATAAGAAACTAATCGGTATAAATAATGAAGAAATGTAATAACACTTTAGGTTATTTTCCCTTTATCCTCAGTTTTTCTTTATTATTATTTTATTTTTAAATGCGTAATTTAAAAGTATATATATATACACATATGTTTGTGCCCTCCACAATTCCATTAATTCGCAATAAATTATCAAGCATCTACACGAGAAGAAACACGTGGTAATGTGATTCATATTAAATTAAATCCGCCAAATAACCTCCCCCATTAATCAGAGCAAGCCAAAACACAGCCACGGCTTTACATTACAGTGTTCACAGCACATGTGAATATAACGAGCTACAGCATCAATAACAATAAAAGCTCTGCATCTCCAAAAAGATATTACTTATAGAGAAGAAGATGTTTTTGCTTATTTTGTATTTACTTATGCATACTGTAATAATAAAGTGTGACCAAAGCACGTGCAACAAAATATGACACAGATTATAAATATAAATACACACACGCAAGAGAAAGGAAAAGTTCTTACCTGTTTTGTCATGGAATCGATTAACCGAACATAAAGATCCTGTTCTGTTCTGACGCCTGTGGGAAATTATTTTTGTTTTTCAATGTGGAAAATGTCTGGTGAAAAAAAAACTATACAAAGTTTCCTCGGAAAAAAAAAAAAGAAGCTGAAAGTATTCTTGAAATTCACTAATAGAAAAAAAAACATCATCGAAGGTTTGCCATCTACTAGAATTACATTTGTGGAATAAACTGAACTACATTTTTAGGAAACTAATACGGCTCCATTGAGAGAATAAAACACTTGTAAAGCTATCCTTGCTGAATAGAGAAATTTACACTTACCGTTGCTGTACAATAGTTGTATTTTGTAATGTATCCCATTGTTAGTTTTTTCACTGTTAGGTTCCTGAAAATAAGCATTTGTTTGGGGTCAGATTGGCATTACTGGGTTGTTGAGAATTTTATTTGAGTGTGTTTATGAAATGCATGCATTTTTTTTTTTTGTCTGTATGCATGTTCCCTCATCATCTTTACGCTTTTAAAATCCAGCAACTGTATTTAAGGTTGTATTTAGTAGATTCATTCCTGGCAATAATGTGTATAATGCATATCTATTTTTGTTTTTCTGTGAAATCCGTCAAAGCGGTTTAATGGCGCACGTGTTTCCAAAGATCTAGAAGTGTGGAAGTTTTAAGGTGAAAATTCAAAGCAGTATTCCAGAGTGGCGCTTACTTTATCCTTTTCCACAAAGTCCACAAAAACTGTCCTTTCGATCTCCACTGGCTGTCCCTGTCTGTCATAAAGCGCCAGGACGAAGTGGAAAAAATTGGATTTTCTGAGGTTGGATGGCGGTTGTTTCTCATAGTGCGCCCGTGCCAGACCAACTCCACTGCGGGGAAAAAACGAGACACCAGTGTGGGTTAAAACAACAGGCGTACACTTGAGATATAGATAGATGTAGATAGAATGAAAACATGGGAGAATTCTTGATTTGTCACTTAAACTGTAATATGATGTAATGAACAGGGGAAAGCGGCGAAGAGGTGCATGGGGAGATTGTAATTGATACATGGCATATTGGGGATTTAGGGGTCGATCTGAGAAATGCATTAAAAAATCGGATGATTTGGCAAACGTACCTCTGGGCGGCCGTGTTCGCATCCACCACCCCAGCCGTGTGCATCCACGATCGGACCGGATTCATGCCACTGCCCAGCGGTTCCTCTTTCATAGTGGTCCCCCCTCTTGGTATATTTTCCTGAATCCCAAACATTAAAACAGTTCGCGTGCAACCCACTTCCAGCCAAAGAGATGAAATGAGAGTGTGAGCGAGGGCGCGTCGTCTCTCCAAGAGCCCCTTCGGATAGCCGTGAGAGTTTGTTTGGGATTTGTCGAAAAGAGAAGAAGAAGAAAAGAAAAAGCAGTCCCGACTCCTTCTTCAGTCCGTCCTGCGTTGGCACCACATGAACGATTCAGTGCGTAAAGATTCTCAAGCCTCTCCAAGCAGCTTGTTTGGATAGATGGAGATCCTCCCGTGGAAGAAGCGAAACAAGTCGCGCAAATAGCAGGGATATTAGACTCGTTTTAATTCAGTTAAACATTTCTTGCAACTTTCTGTTGTTGTTTTTGTTGTTAATGATGATGATGATGATGGTGATGCTCTTAGCTTGGTGGCATCCTATAACAACAGCATCAAAAAAAGGCTTCGGGACACTGCTGAATCCACCACTTCTGGCTCCAAAAGACAAATAAACGCGTAAATGATCACCGTGGAGGTGTTCCCGGACACGGGAGAGGATGATGAGGGGCCTTTAGCGCGTCTTTGCAGAATGGATGGAAGCATACAAAACTCAACCCTCTATCCCCCAGGACTGGAACCTTTCCCGGGAGCCAAAAACTCCAGACCCACGGGATCCACGCTGTCAGAGGATGACGCGCACGTGGGCGTGGCTTTGCCCATACATGGAGAGGACTGACGCTTCCTGTCGCTGGGCTTTAAGCTTGGAGCGTGAGTACATACTCGACTGGAGTCGCTGCTGCTGCTGCCGCCGCTACTGCTTTTCCAGTGCGCATCGTGTCAAGTAAGCATCAGAGAGGAACAAAAATGAATGATAATGAAAGCCCGCGAATAAAGAACTATATTTCCTGAAAAACTGCCATGCAAGTTTATAGAGTGCAAAAGAGCACTGACTGACCACCCATCCGCTGCAAGTGGTTTCCAGAATAAAAAACTAAAAAGTCTTACTGGGCCATCATCACTATGACAGCGGTGCCAAACGTCCCTGACGCGAGCCTCCAAATCGATTCACTTTGATTACTCTCAAATCAGGAAGGTGTACTGGCATTTTAAGACTACATGCTCCTTATAATAAACACCCTGGGCATCTGCATAATGGCGTAATGCGCGTCTTAAATTATGGCAACGTGTACCGCTTGAATCTAAGACCCGGTTTGCGTGCGTGGAGCGAGCCGAGGCGATGGCAAACTCCTAGTCCTAGCGCGCACTCGCTTAATTTGGTAAATTATTGCAGAATTACATCTGAAAGTGTGAAGGGACTCGGGGGAAACATTGCGTCCACCCTCTCCTTCTATGCGCAAGAAGTAGGATGTCTTTTGAAATAGAAAAATATAATCATTTATCAGGACAATAAGGGTAATTTTTATCCTTTCATTTCGTAAGGTGCTCATGTCTCCGATATTGACAGACTCTGCATGTATGTTAATATTTGAATTAATGGGGGAAAATGGAAGTTCGATGTTGGTTATCTGGGGACCCTGTGCGCTGGAGGGAGGGATGGATGGATGGATGGACGGAGAGAGGAGAAGAGAGATGTGTTTTACACAGCAATCTATTCGGCTAGTGTTGGGGGTTAATGACTTTTGCCAAAGATAAGTGAATTATCAAAGCTGTTGCTCTTGCCTCGACTCAAAATCCATCACATTGCATCGTCGTCTAATTAAATACGTAAGTAATAAAATTATATTTTACGACAATTTAAGATTGATATGCTTTTTGTCTTTAATTCGCAATGACTTTGATCCATGCGTACACTGAATGCCTCTGTGAACTTTAATGTTAAATGGCACTCTAAATGATGGTGATTATTATTTGTCTTGAAACAGTTGTTTTATGGTTCACGTGAATTGTGCTTATAATTACTGTTATCAAAAATTCGACTAAAATTACGCGCGTGCTAATAAATAAACCTAAAGTTTCCGGAGACCTATTTGGCATGTGATTTCTTTGTTTTTGTTTAAAGTGGTATTCTTTTTATTTTATCCGAACCTATTCTAATTAACCATGATAAATATTTCAGGTTTGCTAACCCTAGGCCTAATCTACAGTATCTCTAATGCAGATTACACGCCAAAGCGATTTCAATCTGATTACCAAATTAGGGTTTTAGTCTAAATCCCTTTAAATCTGATACTGTTGACTAGAGAAGTTCAACAATCCCATCGCGTAGGTAACGATCCCGTCCTAAAAAGGAGTTTTAAACCTTATTTGACAACAAATGCAGCTGCCCCTCTCTTTTGGAAGATATTAGGCGAAAATGAATGCAAATCTGTGTTCAGAAGCCATCTGGCCGGAGACTGGAGAATCAGCTGCTCGCCTGACTCCATCTCGGCTCATTTCTGAGGCTCATCTGGAGCCCGGAGCCAAAGCGTGCAAAATGCGCTCTTTAATTCACCAACTTTCACTTTCGCTCCTCGACGTTTGGAAATAAAGTGCGGGACAAATTTATGACACACAAAAAAAATCCGGCGTGTTTATTGTGATAAGCGCTTTAATTCCTGTTTTACATTTCCAAAGTGTCAGATGTGTCAGTTTTTGTTAGGCAAAAAAATATTTAAAGGTGCAGCTAAAATATCTACTGCATGCAAAATATTCTGTAGAAAAAAGACAGTTTGCACCACGAAAAGGCTTATATGGTTTGCATTACATACTACTACTAATAATAATAATCAAATATTTAATATTTTTAATTGTTTAGTATCGTTGACGATAATAAAACTTGCTAAATTATACGTTGTTCAGATCAGGGTTCATGGGTTCTTTTTAGAAAACCATCTTTCTAAAATGTTCTAGTATGACACGTAAAAGCTTTTTGCTTCTAACTGGAACGTTTATTTTATTTTGTTATTATTTTTATTTTATTTTTTAAGCGAACGCTGCGGATTGAGCTCTATTCTGTCTGCCCATGTTAGATCTTATTTGGGGAGATGTACTAACAGAGAGCGCAGGACAAAGGAAAAGTTAGTCATGCAGAAGGTGTGTGTGGGTTTGAATAAGATTTGTTCGGCGTTGCCAAGACCTCCCGAAGAAACGACCCTCCTCCTTATTGTGTGTGAAGTGTTCCTTTTGTGTGAATTTACGGGGTGAGGCTCCAATGATCCCCAACAAATTTGCATTTAAATAGCGACATCAACCGATTCGCGTGCCACACACCAGTGGCTTTCCCAGATGTCAAGGCAAAGTCAGTCAGATGGCCAGTGCCCAGATGTCCCCTCCACGCATCATACCAGCGCACCACGACTTTCCCATTTGCATCTTTGCGCACGGCCAAATTACATCGTTAATGGTCAGAAAAGGGAAAAATGAGGGCAAATCAAATCTTGATGAATTATGCGCACTGCTATTAGAGTCAAGTCATCATTGTTTATAACAGTTTATTGTTGTTTCTGGCGTTATTATATACAGTTGTGCTTAGAACAAGCGCAGATGTTGCATACAATTATATCGGCCGTTTTATTATATAGGCATGTTTTATAATAAAACAAGTTAAAGTTCATATATATATATTTTTTTTTTTTTTTTCAGTTGTGGATTTGGAGCGGGTTGAAATAAAGCCTAAAAACCAAATAGCGTTAAATAATAAAATACGTAAATAATAAAATATGTGAATAAATGATACATTAACAGTAGAAAAATAGACAAAGTGCTTAATTATTTACCTCGTCTAAATCTCAATCTCATTCTCTCCCTCAAAGACGAATCTGAGCATCAGCCTAAATGAATAAAACGTGAAAATACATGCATTTATTTTCCGGAGGAAACTGCAGGAGCTTTTGCCGGAGCAGCTTTTAATCTTTGAGAGAAATTTGATGAAGAGCGCCTCCTCTCGACGCATCCGTGGAACAGCGTTTGAGATCACCGCACAATTAAACGGGTGGAGAGCACTAATCAATAGCCTAATATCGATCAAACATGAGCCAATCAGTTTCTGATTCTCTTTTAAAGAGTGCCAGAATTTATCACTTCACAACTGTCGTGCATTGGATGTGCTCGCAATCATCTAGCAGTCTGAATTTAAAAAGACGACGAGAAAGACTTAAAAAACAAAAGGCGAAGTCTGATATGGTTATCAAATGTTAAGGAACAAATTATAAACCTTATTTCGCAGATTAAAGTGTCCAACGTAAATTAATTAGGCAACACATAAATGCATGCATTTAACAAATAGCCTATAATAACAACAACAAAAAACTCCAATAGAAGTATTGTATCGTGCACACGCCGTCGTGTCCAATATCTGCTGATGCTTTTATTCGCAGACAAAAAAAAAAAAAAATCTCCATATCCAGCAGCATCTGTATCGTGCAGAAGAAGCACAAAGTGCATGTGCTGCAGAATGCATGTGTTATTTCTGTGTGAAACAGATCGTGCTGAGGGCACCTTCACTGTGAAAACAGGTTTCGATTAGGTAATTTTAGATATTGTAATTGGCTTTAATTAAACATGTATCGCGCTAATTAACTCAGATTTTTGCTCAGCCGCTGGGACTCTCGTGTCGGCTTTGATACAGTCGAGCAGATGTCCCAATACAACTCCAGTGACAATTACAAACTTCAGCTCTATAGTTGCTGGAAAGAACTTCGATCCTTATTTATTAAACA